GACAGGATCAGGCTTTGACAAGCCGGTATGACCACGAAACAAAACAGAAATAATGTAAGTTATTAGGCCCAGGGGTTGGGGACCGCTGGTCTAGATGATTCAACACAATGTGACAGAGCCATAGTGCAACCAGAAAGTGGGCACCAGAGGTTCTGTGAATGTAGCCTTAAACTCAGTAATGAGAGACCGCTCTTCTTCAGGTGAGATGTTGTAGTAACTCAGAGTGCCCGCCTCCCAGTCTAAATACACTGCCATTTTTTGAGATGGAAACGTGCATGTTTTCCTGTGAGGTCTTTTTGGAGTGCGCGCTCGTTCTGCAGCTTTTGTAAACTTGAGACAGTTGTTGGGCTGGTTTGAGCAGAACACGGCCCAGGACTGATCATCACGACCTAAGACGTTTTTGAAGGCAGCTCCTTTGTAGCTGAGGCCGACGCCCACTGTCCCGTCCCACTCCAGCTCCCAGTAGCACAGTCCACTCAGCTCCTGCTCACAGAGGACATGGCGGACGCTCACCTTGCTCGGAGACTCAGGAATCTCCTCACTCACACTTTCATACAATTGAGCTTTGTGATTTTCAACTATGATCCTTCTGTGTTTCTGATTCAGGTCAAAGGTCAAGTCTGCAGTGTCTGAACACAAACACAAGAGTCGTGTTAACTAAAGAAACACATTAAGCACTTAAAGACAGGACAACTTACATTTGTTTAATCCTGGCTTTAGTCTGTGCTCACAGCAGTGGTCCAGACTGCAAAAGAAAAGTGTTGTTAGAAAAGTTTATAGTGTATTGTATTTAGAGACAGACTGATATGGTGCTGATGTATCGGCCACAAATCTCCAGCAGAGGCTGATATTTTGTTTGGCTCAACCAGCAGCCTAAATGTGCATGAAAAATATCTGCATAAAACTTTGTTTAAACACTTTAGTCCAAAGAGGATTCTGCAAAAATGTGACTAGTAAAGAAGCTTGTGGATGAGTTTGTACTAAATTTTTATGTAGGAATTTGGGAATGACCTAAATCGGCTCTACGTATCAGCCCAAAAGTATCAGCAGAGGTCATCGGCCTTCAGTTCCTCTGGATTCTACACAATCGGTATCGGCATCGACCATTAAAAAATGCATATCAGTCAATCTCTGACTGTAATAATCAATCAATCAAAAAACTTTATTCGAGGCAATTTAAGATCAATGAACAGACAAAAACAAGAAACAACTAAAAGGTCTCAGGTCAGTGTGAGGACAGTAACAGACCTCAGGACAAAAATGTCCCTCCTCTGTGTCCTGCAGCATCACAGCAGCTCCAGCATGTTTTTGAAATGAGACAGATCTTCCTGCACATTCAGCTGCATTTGGTGTAGAGGCTTAACGATGGTTAATCAGCTCTGCTGATATTTTTGGGCCGATATGTCGACACAGATTGTGTTATTAAAATATACTACAAACTCGCCCACAGCCCCTTTTTACCCCAAACCTTTAAGAGAGCTGTAGTCACATTTTGTGCTTTTCATATAAAGTGTTAAAATAAAGTTTTATGTGTAACTTTTAGGCAGCAGGTCGGGTATTTTAGCCAAGAGCCATATAATAAAAAGCACAAATATTAGTCTGATATATCGGTCCATCTCTACAATCCACATTCCTTAACTTGTCTCATCCTTTGCACCTTGTAAAATCACAATTAAAAACAATAAAAATGACTCAATGTGCCTGGCAGTTAGCCACAAGAGCAGTGACTGACCACAGCAGCCCATGATCTGTTCAGTTTTTTAGCTCAGACCTTGTGAATAATAAACAAATTACAATACAATATTAAAGTCAGTTTAGATCAAACCTTTTACTGTGGGACATGTGACTTACCAAACTTCTTTTAGCTTTGAGTTTGGATCATTTTCCATCATTTTCAGATTCTCTTCCTCTGATCCAGGATGATTGTAACTCAGATCAAGTACTTCCAGCTGAGACAACTTGTTGGACCCGAGAGCAGAAATCAAGGCAGAGCATCCGTTTTCTGACACCCTACATCCGGCCAACCTGTGGACATACACAGAGTGAAGAGGTTATTAAAACAGTAATAAAAGGAAGGGAATAAAAACATAGTCATTGTTCAAAATTTAGATTGATTATTGTTGTAAAAAAACAAGCTTAATTTTAAGTGACAAATATTATGTATTGTTTATACCGTGTTTTTTACACATTTGCCTTTGCTGTGGCACTGCATGATTCGAAGCTTAAAATCATGGTTAATTATAGAACCACACTTAATTTCCCAGAGTCAGTGCTCGCTCTACTGGAATCTGGTCCGGCCATCTGCTGGACGCAGAGAGAGTGACCATGAGGGAAACAAATAAGACAGAAAACTGTGTTAGGCTTCTCTCTGTGATGCAACAGTCCAATACAAAGTTCAGAGTCAGAATTTTTACAGAGGATTACTGAAACCAGAGTGAACAATTTTTTTACTATTTTTTAGATCATACACATTTTCTCAACGCAAACTCCTTGAGTGGTTTTAAAAACAGTTTTTTAATCGTTAGTTCCAGCACCGCTCTAGCTCCTCTCGCTCTGATTGGTGCCTCCAAGGGCAGAGAGCCACTGGAAGTGTCTAAACCAGGAGACATGTGCCACTGAGCTCGACCCATTGACTTGAACGAGCGTTCATGCTTAGGCCTCGGGCTTGGTTTTATTCAACTCAGTTACAAAGGGAAATCACATTATTTTTTGTCTTCCAGTCTATCGCCATCTTATGGACGATTTAAGTCCCGTATCCAACTCCACTGGTTTGGACCTTCTAACCACAGTCCATACATGAGGACAAACTTATCCAGCAACTAAATATTTGCAACTACACAGCTGTTGTATTAGATATAAATATATCCAAGATTGTATTTCAGAAATAATTACAAACAAATCACAGTTGTTCTGTTTAATCCCTTCGTCAGTCACCAAAGGCCAAAACACACAGTCCTGCTCTATCTGAACAATGATCTCATGCATAATATGGGACACTTATAATTAAGGTTCAGTATCCAAATTTGATACTGTTAAACCTTCTCAGGATTTTACCAGGGTATACGGTATTACTGTATTACCAAAATGTTTTAGTATGACTTTGATAAACTACGAAGCCACACCACTGTACGGTCTATGTTTCACATGAACCATCTCCAACGTGATAGAAACACAGAACAGACAGACTGACCATCAGCAGCACATCCTCTGTCACAGAAGAACACTCATATTCCACCGAGTCGTGTCCTTTCGTCCGACAGAAGCTGAACCGCATCAGCGCACAATGAGCGAGCTGTTTTTATCAGTGTTTTATAATTTATGCAAATGAGCCTTGTGGTTTTAAGTTTTGTTTCTGTAAAATGTAAACAAATGTGGCCTGAAGCCAAAATGCTGCCAAACTACAGAAGTACTAGTATTTTTATTTTTTTTGGGACCAACTCACTTGTGGCCGGACTTGCCGTCTTGTCTTGGTCTCTTATGAGTGTCACATGACAACGGAATGAAACTGATCGAACATCATCTCCCCACGCAGTTAAAAGAAACATTATAGAAACTATTAGTTTTAAATCATGAAACATTAAACTGAAAATACAACCACACATTCATTTGTGCTGAGCAAACTAATTTAGGTATCAATAAATTATAATATTATATTAAGTCCTTATGCGCTTGCAGATTTTTTTAATGATGTAATGAAAGTGATACCGTGGTTTGATACGCGGGATACTTGTAATATCGTATTACCACCCAACCCTACTTACACCTCAAACTCACTCCCACCGGCCTGTGGCCATAACAGATGTAAGAACTACCAGCTTTTTAATGAGCTGAATTAGACACTGCAGAGAAAGATGATCAGCTCAGTCCCAGACAACAGCATTAGTGTACAAACAGTATTATATAAATGTGTCTTACCTGAGAATCTTGAGTTTACAGTGGACGCTCTTTAAACCCACTGAGAGATTTCTACGCCTGAATCCATCAGCTCATTATGGCTCAGATCCAGTTCGGTCAGATTGGAGGAAGGAGACATTAAGATAGAGGAAGACAGAGCACTGCCGGACCGCTCAGTGAGTTCACACCAACTCAGCCTGAAATGTTTGTAAAACCTTTTATTAATAATGTTATTCAATTTATGCTTCCCATATGCAAACTAAATCTAATATTTTAAATGAGGTCTAAATAAGAGAATAAAGTCAAGTGTACTCACAAAGCCTTTGTTGATACTTTTACCACTGGCATCATTCCTAAAAGGACTTCCTCTGATTGCAGTATTTTTTCAAATCAAACACGTCCAGGTTCTCATCTGAAGTCAGCAACACGAAGTGTGAGAGCAGACCACTTAGCAGGAGAGAAGGTTTCATAGTCATTTTTCTCTGAGTGCAGATACTTCTTTATCTCCTCCACAAGAGAGTTGTCGTTGAGCTCATTCAGACAGTGGAACAGGTTCATGCTCTTGTCTGGTCACTGCAGTCTTCAATCTTTGTTTTGATGTAGGGATGGTTTCCTTATTTATTTCTTGTGTTTTCAGACGTCTTCGTCACGTCCTTCAGGAGCTCATGATTAACTTGAGTGAGAGACCAAGAAGAAAACGCAGAAACAGATCCCAGTCTCCATTTTTACTCTCCAAACTTTTGTCCACTGCAGACTTGTAGAAGTCTGATGCAGACTGGTCTGAAGAGTCTGAGGGCTGACACATCCTGCCCTCTCATTAAACGTGTGGAAGGCATAAAAAGCTGCCAAGACTCTTGGATGCTCAGGTGGACAAAGCTGAAAAACAGCTTAGGGTAAAGTCACATTCATCTCGTTTGACCTTTGCGAGCAGGCCAGAGTAGACCGCTGCTTCTTCCATATCCAGACCATAGCTATTCAGGTCGTCTTCAGTGAACAGGAAGGTTTCCTTTTTTCCATCTTCTTCAAAAGCCATTTTGCTCAG